CTGGGCTTTTACACTTAAGCTGTGGAAACAGAATCTTCATTGCTAGGGGACTGTGCTTAGCTGGTGTGTACTTTCTGTTGGAGAATAACTGATCTACCACACAGCAGGAATATGATATATTCTGGTATGATTATCCATGTCCAATTCTTGTCTAGTTTATATGAAAATGCCACAGATGAAGAGTTCTGTGGATCACAGGTTCAGTGGAATTGCTGGGCCTTGTATCTTTTCTTATGTATTCCCTACAAACCCACAATTAGATGGACAATGGCCCTAAGATATGACCTTGGGTTCTACAGAGTGTGTCATAAAAATCCATGAGGTGGCTCACAGTCATAAATTATAGCAGCTACTGAAAGTTGAGGTACTAAAGACATTCAGAAAGGTTTACTTTAAATATTATATTATTAATCACAATATAGGTAAAATATCATCTGTAGATAGGTATGCATATGGACAGATTGGTGCACATGACATCTGACTAATTCTTTACTATATTCTGGTATATCATATTGAGTAGTAACAGCAGGGCATCATCTTCACTCACATTCTGAAATGTCATTATGAATGGGAAATTCTTGTCTTAAAATGGAACACTTGTGTGACCCATTTCTCTAAGTGCATTACTGATTAAGATCTTGATATAGAGTATTGCTGGCTGCCCAGGAGTATGTACCTTTTCTTATGTATGCTGGAGTGGGAGAAAGTCTGGGAACTTGCTACTTGAGCTCATCTCTATTACACTGAGTTGAGAAATGAAATCAAGAGAGGAGAAGAAATGTACTCAAGTGTAGAGTTGTTCTAGGCATAATAGACCAGAGCATTTGTATGTTAGAGAATCCAAAGCACTGGAGAGGTAGGGTGTAACTTAGTTGAGCTAAGAAAAAGAGAATCTTTACACAAAGAAAAGACTTGGTGCCAGGGAAATAGAGTCGAGTCTAAGAGAGTACTACAGACTATTTTAAGACAAAATAATATGCTGTCCATCCAATATAGTTTACCAAAAATGAAATAAGGGCTGAAGAGTTGGCTTAGTAGAAACAAGGAATGTTGTTCTTCTTCAGGAACTGAGTCCTCAACACCCACGTGGGGCATCTTCAAAAGATTCAATACAGTCTTCTGGCCTTTACAGACACCTGTACATGTGCGTGCGTGCACACACACACACACACACACACACACACACACGATCAAATCAGTGACAACATTAACTGCCTATCAGTGAACATTCCAAGTTCTGATGCCTTCTCAAATGGATCAAACTAATCACTTAGAGGAAGACTAGTATCAGTCCAAATATTCTCTTTAAGTTTCTTTTAAAAACAAAGAAGTGGGAATAGTTTGAGGACAGCATTACCTTCAAACTAAAATAAGAGAAAAAAAAACACACCATACTTTCTATAAGTATACATGCAAAAACACTCAAGAAAAATGCTAGTAAGTGAAATATAGAGTTATACCTAAAGACTAATCTAGCTTCATGCAGTAATATTTATCACTGAGATATAAAAAGTGATTCATTCTTGTGATGTGGAGCATTACAGACTGGTGTACAAAAACCAGGTGGTCATCTTAATTAAGGTCAGCCTGGTCTACATAGAGAGTTCTGAGCCAGCCTACATAGTAAGGCTCTATCTAAAAAATTAAAAACAAAGTAGACAAAATACCCTCATTACAAAAAGTGTTCTGCCAGTTTTGTGTAACTCCATAAAAATTCCAGTGTCAATATTCACAGATATAGAAAAAGTAATTCTAAATTTATTTGAAAACACATTGCTGAGAGTAACATGGACACATATGCACACATGCGTATGCATGCACCTGCACACACACACACACAAATGCGTACAAGCATTACATGCATCCACATGGTAAAGGCAATCATGAGTAATAAAAACAATGCTTAACGTCTCATCTAGTATTTTCATGCTATGTTAAACCTCACATGCTTAGAATAACAAAGTAATTGCACCACAACCACCATCACCAACATCATCATCAACAACAACAAAAGACAACAACAAAAGACAACAAAAGGTAGACACACTGACCAGTAGAACCCTAAATGCAACACAACATGAACTCAAGAACACAGGTAATTTGATAAGAATATGGCATGACTCTCGATTTCATGAGAAAAATTGGTGTTTGATGTGTCTTTCACCTGGAATAAGCATAGTCTGTATCATGGATTCCCCATTGTTGCTGTACATTCCAAGAAAAAAGAACACACATTTAGAAATTGAAAGTCACTTCAGTAATTGATGTTCAAAAAAGTGGATTGCCACATGCAGAAGTGTTAGACTGGACACTTATCTGGAGTGATTTACAAAAAAAAAATAGAAAATTGGTTTGTAAGTCTAATTCCCAAAGAGAAACTAAAACAACTATAAGAAAACGTAAGGAAGAAAAACTATATGACATTTGCTAAAACATGGATCTCTGGGTTTGATCCCAAAAGTGGAGACCACCCAGGCAAAAAACAGCAAAATGAAATAAATATTCCACTGCAAAACTTACTGACAGGAGGGAAATATAATGAATGTTCCATGTCTGATTGTGTACTTGCATGACTGCATGCATCGAGTGTGTGTGTGTGTGTGTGTGTGTATGTGTGTGTGTGTGTGTGTGTGTGTGTAAAAGGTGGGGTATATTTTCAAATGATACAGCCTATAGAGAATCACTTTACAAAGTATTTAAGGAATGTAAAGAATCAACAATAAGAAAATAAGCAAGCAAACCACCCTTACTTGGGTAAGGATCCAGAGCAGGGTGTAGGATGAAGGGCACACCTGTAACCTAGCACTTGTGTCTTTGGTACACAAAGACAGGAGGATTCATTGGCCTTGTTTAAATAGAGAGATATTGTCTCACAGGGAAAAGAAAATGGTAAGGACCTGAGTAGACTTTTTTTTTAAAACAGTGATAAAAATAAAAATGCACAATAGATCAATAAAAATTGTTCATATATCAATGATTATTTATATAATGCAAATTAGGAACACACTGAGCTAGCATCTCTCCAAGACTGAAAAGCTGATAACAACAAGTAGTGTTGGCAAGGATAAAAAAATGAGGAAACTCCCTCATACAATGAGTGTGCTACAAAACAGAAGGACAGTGTGTGAAGCATGTTAAAAATGGAATTGCCACATTACAGATCAATCCCAGTTCTGGTGCTTACCCCAAAGATTTGAAACCACTGTGTTGAAAATATGTCTGACCCATGATTATACTGCTCACCAAAGTCAAGCTATGCTATTACTATGTGTCCACTAATAGATGAATGTATAAAGACAGTGTGGCGTAGTGTAGATGGAATAATGCATGCCCTTAAAAAGGAAGGTGCACAGCCATTATGACAAAGCACATAAAGATGGAGAATTATATGCTAAGTGGACTGAGTCAGATCTAGATAGACAAATACACACATCATGTACATGGAGTCTACAAGGAAGAGCTCAAAACATCAAAGGAGAAAGGGTCAGAGGCTGGAGATCAGAAGTGGGTAGACTGTCATAAAATCAGAATCATTCTGTTTGTCTTTAACCTTTTTAATTAAGGTTGTCTATTTGTGTTTTGTATTGGAATTGGCAGATCACAGTGCATGTGTGATCATAGGACAACCATGTGAGTCCCAGGGACTCAACCCAGGTCATCAGGCTTGGCAGCAATAACGTCTATCTGCTGAGCCATCTCACTCACTCCCTGTCTTATTTTTGAGTGACATTCTACAATATGATAAATACTGTTGATAAAGAGTATTTAAAAATGATGAGAAGAAGTGTCATTTTTACTAAGCACAAAATTTGCTGTGGTAGCAAATTTACAGTAATTGTTTACATTGATTCATTAACTGCAATATCATTTAGTGTTTATATTATTTAAATTATTAATATTTTTTACTATTATTGCATTTGGATAATAGTTGTCATACTACTATGTAGGCTAATTCTCTGTCTCTTTCCTTATTATAGCTTTGGGTTCACCCCTTTTCTTCTCACCCACAACTGCTGAAACTGAAATAGCAGCAGGTGGCGCCCACAGCTACTTAAATCATGGGTGCAAACAGAAAATTCAAACCCCCTTGGAGGGGTAGATAGATGCTTCAGTGGTCAAGAGGACTGGCTTCTCTTCTAGAGGATCCAGGTTTGGTTCCCATGACTTTCTGTTGGCCTATGCACGAACCAGCAGAAACAAGACATATACACACAGAAAGAAACACACTTGAATATGAATGTATTACACAAATATATATAAATTATTAACCAGCAGTAATTATTAGCATTATTAATATTAGCATCATCTTTAGTTATAAATGATATCAATATTAACTATTCTTTACTAATATTAATCATTAATATCAATTATTATTAGTTGGTATTAATTAGTTTTAATTAATACCGATGTATTAATAATATGATACACATGGAAATAAATTATAATATCATTATAGATAAAATTTAGTATAAAAAGTTTAAAAATTCTTCCAGAAAGTTAGGGTTGTCATTAAGTGATCAAAAGTTGGGAGTGATTAGAATCGGGTTAGGTGGTCTACTACCTACATGGCTCCACTCCCCAAATCCTCCAAAGATAGCATCCTCCAACCATTCCTGCAGGCAATTATAAGAGACTACATGTACCTGTAATAATTTTATTTTTCATCATCACAATCATTAATACAGAACCAAGTGGAGACAGCATGGCAAATTTCACAAGGTAATTTTTTTCTTATAACAATTTCTGGTCTGGTTCATATATTCATAGTTGAATCAAATTTTTGCAAAAGAATCTACAAATCTGTATGAACAGCAGGATGGTAATTGTACCTTGGTAATAATTTGATAAGAGTCACAGAGTGAGAAGGAATAACAAGAGCTCTTTTCTAGAATTTTATGTTTACAAATGGGGGTTGGTGGGCATTTATTGGACATGCCCTTTTGTACCTCAAAATTCATGAATCACTGTTTGTTTAACTCTGTCCATTTCAAAAGGTTGTTGATCTCTTATTTGGAAATTTTACCAAAATTTGAGCCTAGTCCAACCATGAGCAGATATCTGAAGATCTTGTCCTTCAGGGTCTGGCATTTCTCAAAGGACATGCTGTTCCCATGGGTTACCATGCACATGCCATATGTGAGGAGTCAACTGCTGGGAAGATTTTCATTTCCAGTCCATGTGGACTTTGGATGCTCCCAGATGGCCTTGGACAACTCCACCACCTTGGATGCAATCTTTTCTTCTTCTTACCAGGTAATTGTGTTGTCCACTCAGCTGTTAAAGAGAAAGTCCTCGTTGGTCCATTTGGCATGGCCACAGAGGGGTCAGCATGGGCAATAGTCTTGGCAGTGTTGGACTTGCTGGTGGTGGCACATTCATAAGTTGTACCAAGGTGATGTTACTTCTTCTGGAATCCTCATAACTCTATCCTACCAAGAATCCAGACTTTAGGAACTCAGCTAAAAGAGTAAGTTGGAGCATCCCTTACTTGTCCTTTTAGACTCATACCATGATTAAAGATTAGCTACTAATATTTAATCTGATTTGATATCAATGAAAAAATTACAAATGATGTCATTCTAGCCTTCTCTTGCCTCCTAGAATCTCTAAATTTTTTTCCGGCCATACAGTATGACCTGCTCTTTCTTATTTCCCCAAAAGGAGAGTGTTTATCCCTTAGCCATTTGCCCACTTATTCATCTGGACCCATGAGAGTGAATAATGAAAATGTGGGCTGTATACACATTGTATATGTATACTGTTCCTCATGCTTGAGAATAAAATCATGTGCTTTGCAAAAAGATGAATAAATGGAACCGAGGAATATCATATGAAGTTAGGTCAGGCAGATGCAGAAAGACAATGATCAAAGGTTGAAACATTGTTAATGGTTGACTTGAGCTTTCAGTACATACCTTTGAACCATCACACTGTAACTTCACACTGCAGTGTATGTTACATGAAATTTGAAATAAAGTGACACACTATAATTCTGCCTCACTCCTTTGATACTACTCTTCCTTGCTTTCTCATCTCCAGAGAGTCCTCCCACTCTGGTGCACCCACCAGCTGACTTCTTAGTTGCTATAGGGCATCTACTGACTCAACACTGGTGAGAAGTAGGTTATATAGTTGTTGTCTTGTCTTAAACTTAGAACCCTGGGTGAGTCATATGAAGTCTTTTCAGTGACCCTGTTTCTCAGCAGCACTAAAATCCCTCTGATGACTTAGGTCCAGTACTATGTTCTGTTCATGCAATAGGTTTTAGAACTTTATAACTTTTTCTCTTGGCTGCAATAAGCCTTCATCTGATATCTGTAGATTCCCCCATGTGGACAGAGTATGGTTCCCTTATGGAAAGGGAATAGTAGTGTGCTTTGTGCCTGAATCTCAGAAACAAATTTTATCAGAGTCTTGCAACATGTCCTCAGACTTATTCATAAACACCTGGTAGACATCTGCAGAGGAGTCTGGGAAGAATGTAAGCTTCTTCTTGGGTCTGTGGTTCTCAATCAATTCTGCATTCTTATTTAGACCACACACTGCCTTTAGCACTTAGAAAACTCTGGTCATTCTCATTATATTTATGAGACCATCTCCCTGGAAAGGGATGGTGAGACTTGTTCAAATCTGTTGTGATAAAGTGTCTCCTAGGCACAACAGCCTTTTAATCAGAGAGGCTGAGAATATCTGTAAAAGGTTCCTCGGGATCCTGTAAAAGACAAAGAGATTCAGATGGTCACTAGACTATCATTTGTGAGTCCAGCCACTCTCTGTATCCTCATACAATCTTTGTGCAGTTCTGTCAGCGTTGTACTGGGTTCTTGGAGGTGCTAGATTATGCATAGGGTGGACAGTTAACCAAAGGAGGGATTACATTGATGCAGCTATGGGGAAGTCTTTATTGGGAAAGGTATTTGGAGACAGAGCTGTTTTCTAAGTAATCCTGTTAGTAACTCCTGACTTATGCTAAATAAACCAAATACAAAGTGAATCAAAGTGCACTCAGTGGAATCCTCTCTTACTCTGACTCTGTTCTTTCACGCTCTATCTGGGGTAAGTAGATGCTGCTCATATCTCCCATAAAAATTTATTACAACAGCTCATGTTTCCTTCATGTTTGTCTTCCTTTAGTTTTCAGGATAATTGTTTCTCCATCCATCTGTAGAGACTTTTTTTTATGGTTCCTCTCTCTTCATATGTCCCTCTCTGAGGAACATAGATTAATTTTAAAACCTGCCATGACAGATATTGACCAAAGTCTGATTTTCATAACAATGTTTTATTTTTACATGTTGAAGAGGATAGATATTGCCTCTTTAAAACATTTGTATAAAATACCATATAAGGTTATAGCCTCAAAGATAAGAAGTGTTATTGCTCTACAAAATCTTCTGTGGAATAATACTTCTTGGGCTCCAGGTTCTCAAACACAGCTGACCCTCCTGATCAGAGTTCAACATGATCCCTATGGGATGGCCTCTCTGCTGCCTCCTTGGCCCTGAGCTCAGACCAAAAAGCCACTTCTTTGTCCTTCAGCCTCTGGGCTGCTTGAGTTGAGGCACCAATCTTCAGGTAGCCTTCCTTCTGGTCATATTCTGGCCAATGGGGCAGCCCTCCCTCATTAGGGTTCCTGTGAACAGAATTAAAAGAAAAGAAATTCACCAAAGCAACTGTGTTGTACCTATGCTGCTTAGATTTTTTAAAGTAAACCTTGGGGATCTCTGCCAAGAAGCTACCTTTGATACCTGTGCCACCTGTGCCAACTCTTTACCTCCTAGGGCAGTCTGCTCATGTTTAAAAAGTCCTGTGTTATTTAGGTCTTAGCTCTCCTCCAAATGCTCATGTGTTGACACTGATGCTCAGCTAATTCTTCTGTTAGGGCTAATGGAGGCATCAGGAGGTGGCACCTACTTGGGAGGGGTGGGTCACTGAAGGTCTGCTTTGCACCATGTTGTGTCTCCAAGTCCTTTATCTCAGTGCTTCTAGACTGCACACACACACACACACACACACACACACACACACACACATCAAACAAACAAGCAAACAAAACAAAGCAGTACAACTAAATCGGTTTCCTGAGTGCCAAGAAACCAGGTTCTCACTTAAAGCCACCACAGTCTACTTTGTCACAGGCTCAAAGTGAAAATTTCAAGAGAAAGTCAGAGCCAAAATTAAGCCTTCATTTTTTGAGTTGATGAAACTTGGGCATTTTGTCTCAGCAATTGAAAGATGAAAACACATAGGAATAGTACTAAAAATATTCCTAAAAAGTAGATCTCTGTGAGATTAATTCCCTGCCCCCAATCTCGTGGTTCTGGAGAACTGTTTTTCTTTTTTCTTTTTTTTTTTTTTTTACTGGTTTGTGAAGGAGTTTGGGAAGTTTGGAATGTGCTGTATAGAATGCATAATGCAGTGAGTGGGGTTTATGTGGGATTCTTGAAGGTTCTAATAGGGAAGAAAGGAAGAGAAGTCAAGCTCAAGATGGTTCAGAAGAGAAGAACATCTAGATCAGAGGCCATTCATGATCCATTCTCACAGCGGATTTTATGGGGTATTGAGTTTAAAGATCCCCAGTTAATAGAGTATTCACTGGTGGAGGACATTCGAAGATACAATAGCATCCAGGTAGAACAACTAGGTTTGTTTTGTTCTGATCTTAGTTATATTTGCATTGAGATTCACAAGCAAATCCAACAACATGAAGATTAGAAACACATAATCTTGCCAAACAATAACAACAAAAACCAAGCAAACCCACAAAGACCAACCCTCTCAAGACCCCTACCACATAGCCAAGGACTCTGATTAAGGCTTTGTGGAAGCAGAGTGCCATTGTCAAGGAGATTGCCTCATTAAGAGAAGCCAGAGTTGCATGTCTAAGGATGAAAATAAAAGCTGTTCCAGGGATTTCGCAGGAGTTGGCCCTGTCTTTCTTTTTGTCATTTTTTTAAGACCACAGCTATCATAGACATATGATGTAAAGATATGATCTTCTTCCAAAAACGTTTTTTTGAGAAATTTCTACTAGAGGTCCTTGCCATGAGGGTGACCATGGTGAATTAATTCTCTGATTTTTTTTTAACCCTCATGTTTGGACAAGCAGAGACTATTGTAGAGGATGGCCCATAGAATCTGGGGACACCTAACAGCATAGATAAACCTTGGTGCTATCCAGATGGGTGTGGTTTTGACAGCTTGCAGAATGCAAGATCAGTGAGGTCATCAAGGCTTCTGCATAGATTGCAAAGGAAAGAGCTGGGGCCATCAAGTGTGTAGACGGGTTTGCAGTCCCTGCTAACACTATTAAAAAACCAGGATGCTTAAAGCCATGAGAGTAAAGTTAATGTGACTCAGTATAGAGAGTCTAGTGAGTTAGGAGGAACAGGACTTGAACCTTCTACCTAGGGTTTGATCAGGCCATGAGCACAACCAACCCAAGAGAGGCTGTGTGAGCCAAAGCCTTTGGAAAAAGAGCTTCCTAAGTCTTTCAGAGCTCACACCAACCAAAAGATGTCAGGATACCAGACATGGAAGCCATCTTGTACTTGATTCTCAGCTGAAAGTGCTCCTGGGACATAGTGGGAACTCTAAAACGTAGGCTTAGTTGAAAGTAACTGATCCCAAAGAATGACACTGATGAGTGTCTTGGGACCCTCCTCTTTTTTTCTATCTTTACTGTCTGCCAGTGAGATGGAGAGACAAAGAAATCTAGGCATTACACTAATCCACACTGTTCTATACTGACAAAAAACCTGAGCAAGTAGGTCAAATGAAAGAGAATTGAACCCTCCGAATCTATAAGCCAAAATTCACATCTCCTCACTATCTCAAAAGCTCATCACACCTCTAAATATGATTACTGTAGCCTTTATTGGAATGCTATGGTCACAGATACAGGCGGTTGGCTACTCAAACATTAGAAAACACCCCTCTCCAACAAGTTTGACACTATACCCCCAGATCTGTCCCTTCTTTGTTACAAGACTCACCCATTCCGCGCAAAGTTGGCCCAGAATTTCATCACCATCTTGCTGAGGTTGGTCTCCTCTTCTGAGGCGCCATCTGTTGGGAAGAAAGAGTAAGTAAGCTTCAACTATTTACCAAGTGGCTTTTTGTTTGTTTGTTTAGCAGTGACATAGCAGGAGGGATTCGGATCATTTTTATCACCTGGGGACCTTGTTAGAATATCAGAATCTTGATCTTTTACCCATCTTACTGTGTTAAAACCAACCTTCTAAGAACATGCT